CGACTATACAAGGATGCAATGAGTCAGAACCAACTCTATGGTACACAACCATCACCAACAGTCACATGTGACAGAGCAAGTATAACTCTGGGTAAATGGATAGATTTCTGTTCAGTAAAAGCAGTTTACAATTAAAACACATCTGACTGCTAACCATTGTTGTTGTTAACTGCCGTCCAGTCAAGAGCAGCTGGTGGGTCTGAACTACTCACCTTATGGTTTGCAGTCCAGTGCTGATCCTACAGCGCCACACCAGGAGTCTAACTGCTAAACACTAGGTATATAGAAACAAACTTTCCTTTCTTCCCAGATGTCACTGATAGGGATTCCCTTCTCTGCCGGTATCTTCTTGTAATAGTTTATAATGTGGTAAGTATTGAAATAACAGAAACAACTGTGGCAAAGGATACCATGCATTTGAAGTCAGAAAACCTGGCTCTGCTAATTACTTCTTGTTATGAAGTGCCGTTGAGTCTGTTCCAACTCACAGTGACCCTCTACAGGGTTTCTGAGAAGCAGCTGGTGGATTTGAACCACCAACCTTGCAATTAGCAGTCCAGTGCTTATTCTACAGCACCATACCAGGGCTAGCAGCATATGAATGCCGACTAAACCATAAAGTAATATATAAATATTAGATAGCATTCAGGAAGAAAAAGAATGAAAAGATAAACCAAAGAGCAAAAGGAAGAAAAACAAGATAATGGACTATAAAGGAAAGCTCTCTATCTCAGTACTGTTTCTCCCTGTTCTCTTATTCGTTCCTTGTTTGGTTCCAGAACCATCAACCCAATTCTGCTTCATTTCTGCTAAGATTCTCTCATCTTAGAAACTCACCAACCCCACGCAAATCAAGCCTACTCTTCTTTCTTCACATAGTCACATCACCCAACTTGTCTCCCTTCCCTCTCCCAAATATCTACCCCTTCTCTTTTCTCATTCGGTCCATGGAACTATGGGCCAAAATGTCAATGATCTGAGCTTGGAGTTTGTGAAGTCCGTTTCTACCGCCTGAAGTTTCCAGAAGGAGCCCTGGTGGCAAAATGGATGACAGCTAGGCTGCTAAAAGGTTAGCAGTTCAAACCCACTAACCGCTCTGGAAACCCTAAGGAGCAGTTCTATTTTGTCCTAGAGGGTCACTGTGAGTTGGAATTGTTTTATGGCACATTGTAACAACAACAAAGGTTTCATAGAAAGGATATTTTTGTTTCACTTGCTGGGATTCCATACAAGATACACTATCAGAGAAAATTCATGTTAGAATTCTGGATGCAGTTTTTCTTTAAATATAAATTATTATAAATTGTAGTGCAGGTCAGAAGTCCAGAAAATTAAAGGTTAAGCAATATGCTACTGGCAGGTCTAAGAACCAAACTGCTATGGAGCACACTATTATAGGGAGCAGTGAATGAAAGAGTTCAAACAAATATCAATATGCATGGTCTTCCTCAGACGAGGTAATCACGAAAGGTTTAATTAAGACAGTGTCTCCGAGACTAAGACTCAATGGGAATCCACGCTCTGATTGGTGACCACGCTCGACACCGATAAGGGGAAGTGAGGGAAAAACAGCAATGAAGCAGCGAGCTAAGTCCTACAATGTTCAATAGACTCCTGTGAACCCGGGTGAAGACCTGGTTGGCCAGCAGTGTGGCAAGACCTGGGACTCTTGGGCCCAGAGTCAGTGACATAGCCACAGAGCACTAGAGTGGAGAGTGAAGCGTCCAGCTGATAAGACGAGAGGGCATATGTACAAGAACACCCACATTTGCAGAAAATACCCACTAGACCTGGCTTCAATGACTGGATGATCAGAGCTCAACCAGAAGAAGAAAGAAGAGGGGGTAAAAAAAAAAGGGTAATCTGATACAATTTGATGAACTTGACCTACACCTATGGATGCAGTAGCTCAAAAGAGGGAACAAATCCTTACAGCAAGACTCATTCCCATCCCCTCCATATACAAGGCAGACAGAGATGGGCAACTTGGACATTGGCTACCCAAAATGGGGGGTGGGGGGTACAAAGGCAAGAAGTGACTGGCTTACAAGTTTTCAAGAGGGAACCTAGAGCCAGGGGGCCTGGAGGAAGGTAGAATCTCCAGTGAGTAGTATCCAATCTGTCTAGGCGGGGCTAATGCAATGAAATGCAGATGGGTCGATAGTGAATAATTGTTATCAGGACTGATTGTGAGGGTTGGAAATGTAAAGGTACACATTTTATAGCAAGGAGGGGAGTGATTAACTTTCCAGTCTAGGAGCAGAGGTCCCTGGGACCATCAACGGAGAAGAGCAGAGAGCGGGACCCTACCCAGAGAGAGAAGCAGTGATGCCTAAGATCGAGGCAGAGACGATGATGTGGAGAGATGGAGCAGCTGGGGACTTTAGATCCAGAGAGGGAGAGGGACTGTGTGCTGAAGACCGGGAGTGTGTGGGGGGCAGGCTTGCAGGGTATACCCATTGGTTGGTTGATGATGCATGGAGGGGACTGTAACCATGGCAATGAGACGATATACAATAGAACGAATGTAAAAACTAATGTTCTCCCATGTAAACGAGCACATAATTCATAATAAAACACTTTTAAAAAGACAGTGTCAGAGAGCAAAGAAGGGAAAAGATCAAATCAGGGTTTCTTACAATGGAGTCCATGTAGTCTGAAAAATTTTTAATTCTGTATTTTTATTCTGAGAACATAAAACATATACAAAGTATATTCTGGATCATGTACATTGTGAGTATCCTATAAGTGAGCAATGGCAATTATAGTGCTGCTTTTGCATTCATGTTTACAAGGCACAGGTGCCAAGACATCCCCTAAGGTGGTGATGCTTAATTTTTAAAGTCTTGGTAAACATGCATGGTTCTTAGGTTGGCACATCCTAAAACCATAATGACAACCATTACTTGACTGCCAAATTTCATCATTACATAAATGCCAAATTATATCATTACATGAGAATCGTGGCCTGGCCAAGTTGACAAATAATCCTACCCATCACAGGCAGCATTACATTCATCTCGCACTTCACCTTACTTAGTGCCCAATGCATGTCATTCATGCACAAAATAGTCAGACAGTGAGTTTGTCACCATTGTCATGAATGTGAAATGTTGGCTAACGAGACAGTAAGTCAGGAGGAGGTACAAACTGATATGATTATTTCCACTTGAAGGAGAGGTCAGTGTGTCTACTTTACTTTCACTGTGTTCCCAGTGCCCAGCACGTTGCCTGACATATAACAGTCTCTCAAATATTTGTTGAACAAATAAATTCACAGTTTTTGGTTTTCATTATACTATAAACAACAAATAACTTTACAGTCAATAAGGCCTGACAAGAAAAATATTTTCATTACCAAAGTAATGAAACCCTAAGTAAGATAAAGTACTTGATCTGACAGTAATCCAACCCCACACACTTCTGTTTGGGTCTTAAGAGGAAATGAGCCAGTGAGACCCAAATCACCACCTCTGATGCAATAATCTTGCAGAAGACAAAAGAATGCGGAACAACTGTTGCTATGATTAATTGAAAATTGGAGGGAAGGTGATATATTTATAAAAACAAAAGAAAAACCCTAGCCTACTCACAAGGCCCCCTGGAAGCACCAAAAGGTTAGTGGTTTGAACCTACTCAGTGGCGCCACAGGAGACAGCCTGACAATGTGGTTGTTGTTAGCTGCCATCGAGTCGGTACTGGTTCATAGCAACCTTATGTACAGCAGAACGAAACACTGCCCGATCCTTGGCCAATCTCACTACTGTTGATTACAGCCTAGAAAACCCCATGTGCCTCATGTGTTCTACTCTGTCAAACTGAGTCCTTATGAACTGAAATAGACTCTCTGGGACATAACAATAAGCCTACTGTTGTTATTACAAGACTCTTGTCATTATGACAAATATTATTTTTGGGGTGATGCTCTGAGACACAACCATATCCCTCCTTCTCAGGAGAGGATTACACCCAGTCAAGTCAACCACATGTGTTATTTTGAACTCACCCTCGTATAAAATCATCTTGTTTATTTCTGTTTGTTCCCAACACCCATCCCCCATAACATTAACATGTAAGCTCTCTGACTCATGCCGACTCTGCATAGGGTTTCGAGGAGCGGCTGGTGGGTTTGATCTGCTGATCTTGTGGTTCCGTCCATTACTGATCCTACAAAGCCACACCAGGAATCTGTAGTGTATATTAGATTAGCTGTTCAATGAACATTTGTTAAACTAAGCAATGCCTCTGTTCTCAATTACCACTATTCAAAGAGAAAGCATATCTCCAATAGGATGGTATCATCTGGGATCAAGAGTGGGAGAATGGAGGTACACGTAGATGATAGTACTTAATAAGACAGAACGAAAATGACTTGATAATCAATTGCTTGGAAGGGTTATGGGTGAAAGAGATGTAAAGCAGCTCCTAAAGACTCTCGTACATAGTTCGAGTTTGACAAACACTGGCCATTATAACAATATAACAGCAACGATGATCCATACAGGTCTGACATTCAAGAAACAGGTCTGGACCCGAGACACAGTTCCTACCCGAAACTAGGAAGAAGACGAATGTCAACATAAGGCAGTGGAGAAGGGACATGCTGGGGACCAGGAGCCTACAAAAACGATACTGCAAAGCCAAAAGTCGAACGAAGGTGAGCCAGATGAGTGATGCCATGGAAACAGGGGCGTGGAGTTTTTACAAGACTCTGTGATCGAGGTCCTAGAGAATTCTGACTAACTTAGCATTTTTCCTTCTGTAATAACAACTGAAGTAACACGTTCCGACCCTCTTCCACTCGAGGCTCTAAGAGCGCCATAAAACGTACTTCGGCCAAACTCAACTTATCCGACAAATCCAACTGTCGACACAAGAGAAGCCCGAGTCACCCTAGTACTGCCCCTTAGCTCCACCCTCAGCACCTTCCAGTCAACACCTCTGCCCTCCCTCTGCCGTGGTTTTCTCCTCTCCAGCCGAACGCGCCCCGTTCCATTTACCTGTCCCGGCACCCTCAAAGAGCGCGCACGGGATCGAAACCGAGAAGCGCGGATCAGCACCGGTCATCCACAGCCCGCTCCCAGAGGAGGCTGGGACTGGAGTGCCTCCGACTTCCGCGTAAAGCGCCCTGCTTGCGCACAGCCTCCTGGGAATGTGAGCGCTCCTCCAATGGGAGTGGGCGGTGGGGCGAGGCCAGCTGCTTTCCCAACCCCGCACTACCCAAAGACCGCACTGCATTGTGGGAGTGGTAGTTCAGCCCTTCAGAAGGCCGAGCTTGTCAAACATTCCCTCAACAACTCTTTTCTTGTCGTAAAATACCTGCGGAGCACTGTACCAACACCAGGAAAATTAGAAGATCCAGGACCATCCTGGTGTGTCGCTGTAGGAAAAGCACTGAACCGCAAGAGCGATTTGAACCTCAATAACAGCGGTTCAAACTCACCAGCTGCTCCTTGGAAAACCCTATCAGGGTCGCTCTGAATCGGAACAGACTCGATGGCACGTAACAACAACAGGACCACAGGGGTCCTGGTGGCGCTTTGGTTAAGCTCTGGGGGGAACCATAGGGGCAGTTCTACTCTGTCCTATAGTGTCGCGACAACCGGTTTGATTTGGCATTTGGTTTTCAGGACCACAGAAAAAAACTACCAGCATTGAACTGGCATGATAAATAATGAGCCAGGCTTGCCCTGCTTAGTCTCAAAAGATGACTTGGCTTGTTAATGTAACAGGCAAAATAGAATACATCCAACTGCAACTCTCTTTACATTCGCCAGGATAATTTCCAGCTCTCTACCCGTCACTTGTGGGCTAATGCGTCAGACTGCAAAGTCGTTTGAACTGCAAGGTCGGTGGTTCAAGCTCGCCAGCTGCTTCTTGGAAACCCTATACAGGGTCACTGTGGATTGGAATCCACGGCACTTAATAACAACAACCAGTCATCTATTCTTTCTCCCATTCTTTTGCAATAACAGTTGTCACTCCCCTTTGATCTAAGCACACTCCTCCCACCCCTTACATCCGGTTCAGAGTCTAGCTCCGCTGACAAACCAACCGTGTAGTCAGTCTCAACCACAGCTTCACCACCACCGCCGCCACATACAGACTTAAAGTAGTGATCTTTCTCCCACCTTTCCTTCCCAGCTACGTTTCTGGACAGTGTTGCTAAAACCAAAAAACAAAACTTTTCAATAATTAAGTTGTTTCAATTCTGCAAGATTTTACATTGTTGATTATTCCCTCCCTAAAACCCTTAATTCTCTTCACTCTTTCCAATAGATCACACTCTCTTGGTTCCCTTAGCCACTCTGTGGTAGTTCCTTGTTTCCCTTTGAAATGTTTGTGTTTTATAGGGCTATGTCCTACTGTCTCTTCTTACTGTTCACACTCTTGCTGGCTAATCTTACTATTTCTCTTGCTTTGGTGATCTTGTATGCTGATGATTGCCACCTATAGGGAGCTTAGACGTTAAAACTCCTATCATTCAGACTCAAATAACTCATGACAGCTGGGCACCGATTTTAGGTACTTAAAACTTAATGTATCCCAAATAAACCTAGCGCAACTGTGTCCTAGTAAACCTGTCTCCCTAAACCTCCCTCCTCCTCTAATCCCATCTCAGTGAAAAGAACAACCATCTAATCAGTTGACCACTCCTGTAAAGTTCGCATCCAAACAGCCAGCAAATAATATGAAGTTTATCTCCTGACTACTAAAGCTTCAGTTTTATCATCTTTAAAATTAGCATAATAATACTGTCTTCAAGGTTTGTTGCCATGAGTCATGAACAATAGTACCAGGCAGAGTAAGCACACACAGACAATATGTATTTATTGAGCAAGGATTGTGTACGACATCAGTTCCTCCTAATGGGGAGATCTGCTGTATGAGACTTCTTGAAAGTGTTCAAGAGCAAAGATGTCAGTTGGGGACTAGGGTGCGCCTGACCTAAGCCATGGTATTTTCAATAGTCTCATGCATGTGAAAGTTGCACAAGGAATAAAGAAGATTGTAGAAGAGTTGACGCATTTGGGTTATGATGGAGGAAAATACTGAAAGTATCATGGACTGCTGGAAGAACAAACCAATCTGTGTTGGAAGAAGTACAGTAAGGATGCTCCTTTTTAAACCAAGATGGCCAAACTTCATCTCTCATACTTCTGACATGTTAACAAGAGGGATCAGTCCCTGGAGAAGGATATCATGCTTGGTAAAGTGGAGGGTCAGTGAAAAAGTGGGAGCCCCCCCAATGAGATGAATTGACACAGTGACAGCAGCAATGGACTCAAGCGGAGCAGCAATTGTGAGGTTGCTGCAGGACCCGGCAGTGTTTCCTTCTGTTGAAATCAACTCAATGGTAGCCAAACACCAACAGCACCATTAAGTGTTGCATAATGATAGCATTGGTTTTCATTTCGTTCATGCAGAAAGAAAAGGAAAAATGAGAATTGCTGAGATACTTGATGTAAGTCATCCCCACGCCAATCTTCAGTCTTTTTTTCAAATATGTCAAACATATAGAACTGGTCACATAATTCGGCTGTAATAAGTTCAGGGTATACCATACTTTAGGAGTCCTGGAGCACAGTAGTTAAATCACATCACTCAGCTGCTAACCAAAAGGCAGAAATTTGAACCCACCAGCCACTCTGAGGGAGAAATATGTGACAGGTGCTTCTGAAACCATTTTCAGCCTTGGAAACCCAGTGGGGGCAGTTCTACTTTATCATATAGGGTTGCTATGAGTCAGAATCAACTCAAGGCAGTCGGTGGGTATTTTAAAAAGCAACAAAAAAATCAAACTACTTCCACGAAGTTGATTCTGCCTTAGTTCCCAGTTACGTCAGACAATTCCTACTTGCCCTTGTTGTTGTTAAGTGCCACTGAGTTGGTTCTGACTCATAGTGACCCTGTATAGGGTTTCCGAGGAGCAGCTGGTAGATTTGAACTGCCGACCTTACAGTTAGCAGTCTAATGCTTATTCAACAATGCCACACTTGCCGTTTAATGCTTTGTAAGTATGCCCTCACTTTGAAACAATTGAGCCAATCCCTACTCTCAACAAAGTCTTCAGCACAATTACCTCACTTGCCTAAACTAATGCCTAATAAGAACAATAGGTGTCTGTTCCAACTCACCTACAAATTCCACTTAAAAACTTAAAAACATAGTTAGGAAAATATTTCATTCATAAACAAGGGACTGCCTGTTTTTGTGTTCAGCTCTGGGTGAACTGTAGACAAGCAGAAGTATAGTTAGGGAATAGTGACTAAAATGGTGTGGGCAGTAGGAATCAGAAGCAATGTATCTGTATCTGTATTGTCTTCTTCACCATCCTTCCCAACTGTTTATCATTTGAGATTGCGCTAAAACAATATCCCATTAATCCAATATTTTACTTAAAAGCTTCATTGTTGTGGTTGTTGGTTCCGACTCATAGCGACTTTTTATAGGGTTTCTGAAAGCAGCTTGTGGGTTTGAACTGCCAATCTTTTGCAATCCAGTGCTTATCCTACAGTGCCACACCAGCTTGATTGGTGGTGCTGTTGAATAAACATTGGACTGCTAAACACAAGATCGGCTGCTCCTTGGAAGTCCTGTGTTATTGTTGTTGGTGTTGTTGTTAAATGCTGTCCAGTTAGTTCCTACCCATAGCAACTCTGTATAGGATTTCCGAGGAGTGGCTGCTGACCCTGTACTGCAGACCTTGCAGTTCAAACCGACTTTGCAGTCTTATGCATTAACCCACAGCACCACACCAGGACTCCTGGAAAGCCTATACAGGGTTGCTACTTAACAACACTTAACAACAACAGTAACAACAATGTCTAAGAAGAATTGCTCCACTTAAGTGTTGGGGAAGAATATTGAAAGTACCATGGACTCCCAGAAGAACAAACCAATCTGTCTTAGAGAGAAGTCCAACCCGAATGCTTCTTAGAAGTGAGGATGGTAGGACTTTAGTTCAGGTACATTAGATTTGTCATCAGGAAGGACCAGTCCCTGGTAAAGGTCATTATGGTTGGTAAAGTCGGGGCTTAACAAAACAGAGGAAGGCCCTCCCAACAAGGTGAATTGGCACAGTGGCTGCAACAATGAGCCAAACATAACCATTTTGAGGATGGCGCAGGACCAGGCAGTGTTTTGTGATGTTGTGCATAAGGTTGCTATGAATCATAGTAAATTCCAAGGCATCTAACAACAACGATGTCTAAGGTTCTTAACAGGGAATGCAAAGACTCTCTCTACCTTGACAACTTCATATTCTGCTTCTATTTCCAACATATTGTGTGTTCATTCCTGCTCCTTTATGATGACATTGATTCATCCATCTGTCCATTCATCCATTTGCCACAGTTAATTTTAGAATGTTTTTATCACCTCATGTAATCCACAAGTATTGAAAAGTTATTTTCCTATTGTATATTTTTTTGTGTGACTTTATTTTTAAATACTCTGCTTATAATTTTGATTTCTTATTTGACCCAGGATGTATTTTCATGTTTTGGGGTTTCTTTTTTTCATTCTGATTGGGGATTTTACACAGATATTTATTCATTTCCAGTTTTTATACACTTTCATTCATAGTTTCTTATATATGAGCTCTGTTTTGAGATTTCATTGAAATTTCACTTGTGATGTAGTACATGAACAATTTTCAATAGTACCAAAAGAGGATTTCTTTTCTAATATTTATGTGACTATTTTAGCCACATTTATTACTTACTGGAGTCTTGGACTGCTAACCGCAAACTCCGGCAGTTCAAGCCCACCAGTTGCTCCTTGGAAACTCTATACAAGGTTGCTGTAAGTTGGATTTGACTCGACGGCACTTAACAACAGCAACATTAATTATTAGCATTTTCTTTTCTTATCTACATGTTATTGTTAAGTGCCATTGAGTTAGTTCCTACTCATAGTGACACTATACAGGGTGACCATGGAGCAGCCGGTGGGTTTGAACCACCGACCCTGCATTTAGCAGCCCAGCGCTTATCCCACAGCACCACACCAGGACATAATGTGCCAAAAATCATCAGTAAGATGCAAGGAAATTTTTGAAATGTCCTTTTAATGACTTGTTGACCACAAATAGCTTTTGTCAACAACATAAATAGTAGCCATGCACGT